CTTCCCATCCCTAAAGTTCTGTGATTCTGTGGTCCTGCTGGTTACACTATTCCTGATTCAAGCCAGGATGCCATTGGCCTTCTTGGCCACCTGGGCACGCTGCTGGCTCGTGCTCAGTCAGCTGTTGACCAGTACACCCAGATTCCTCTTTCCCAAGCAGCTTTCCAGCCACTCATCTCAAAGCCTGTAGTGCTGTGTGGGGTTGTTGTGACCCAAGTGCAGGACCCAGCACTTGGCCTTGTTGAAGTTCATACAGTTGGCCATAGCCCATCAATCCAGCCTGTACAGACCCCTCTCTAGAGCCTTCCTACCCACAAACAGATCAACACTTCCACCTAGCTTAGTGTCATTTGCAAACTTACTGAGGGTACACTCAATTTCCATCTAGGTCATTGATAAATATGTTAAACAGAACTGGCCCTAACACTGAGCTCTTGGGAACACCGCATCTTTCAAGACAGAAGTCTGTTGGTAGAAATCAGGCTAAGAAAATAATGACATAATTATATTTATGAGGCACAAATTTTATTTTACTACCAACTATAAATGGTCTCCTAGTTCCACATAAATTGCAACAAATGAAGCTTCAAGACATTTTAGTAACAGTCCAAAATGAATTTGAACTTCATGAGAAACCATACCTGTTGGCATCTGCACATTTAACTAGTATTGTCTCTACAACTGGCTTGAGAAGTCGCTGTAGTTTAGTCCTCTCTGTTGAAGTATGACAGGGAGTATAAACCAGCATGGCTCTTAAAGTTTTCTAAGAGAAAGGGGGAAAACAATACATATGAAATCAAATTAGCTACATATTTTTAATTTCTTTTTAAAGAGTTGTAAATAATTTTATATAAATTGCATCCAAAATATCAGTAAAGTGCTCAAAAGATAAACAGCTTACTACATATTCACTGTTAAAATTAGTCATGTATTCTTTAAGATTGGAAAAAACCTAGTCATACTGTTAGCACTGTAGCAAGCATTTTCTTATACTTCACCAATGGAATCGTGCCATTTCATGCTTATTGATGATTTTGTTCACTTCGCTTTCAGATGATGGTTAAAAGTTCAAATCATCAGTGACGCTCAACAACAATTACTACGATTCCTGACTTCATGTGTCTCCTCCCTTTCCCTCCCCTTCAGAACTTCACAATTACTAGAATACAACAAGTAAACAACTACTTACTAAAGCAGCAACATACACTTTGTAGACAGGGTCTGCACAGACCATGGACAGCACACTGCAGCAGGATTCTACCACCACATCTCCTGAGATACTGGTTTGAGACGATCCACTAGCTGCTCCCAAAGCTCCAGCACTTGTGTTATTTCCACTGCTGCTTCCAGAATTTCCAGTGCTTTCACCATTAGCCAGTAACAGAGCACCACTAACATCATGGGAAAGACGTCTAAGTGCCATCTCTCGTATATTCCAGTTTCGAGAAAACAAGCAGCCAACTAACTCCATTCCAAATACCTGCCACAGAAAAAGCAACATTACAGGAGTCAAACTGAATAACACTGCAACTTAAGTATCTAAGAAGGTACTTTTTCTGATGATAAATCACCTTAAGGAATGTGACAGCAAAAGTGTGTCAGAAGGTATAGTCTCCTAAAAAAATATTCTGTGAAATGGAACATCATAAATGATAAGTCATCAGCTCTCCAGAAAAAAAAAAACTCTGTTAAGAGAAGTGGGAGGATGACTGAATGGTTTCATTCAGTCTGAATTTTAGTTATTCAGTATGGTGTTTGTTTCTAGACATTGATATAAACAACCCAGGTCCACCTGTACCAGACAAAAAAATACAGCAGAAATATAGGCAATACAAGTTGTCCCACTTTTAAATGTGTGACCCCTGCTCAGCTGAATCCATATCTAGACTTTAAATTTATTTAGGTCATTCGGCTCCTGCAACACAACTTGGGTAACAGTAAGTGTCAACTTTGTATTTATGTGACACTTGCACAAGCAAAACTAGAGTTAAGAATCCTACATTTTATTACATGGACCTTTAATATAAGGCCTGAAATGAAGTTCAAAACTGAAACCTCAGTTAAAACAAGACTGGAAAACCTTCTCTTCTGACATAAGTTAAATATAATTCTTTCCAATAATAATCAAACAAAGCTGATAATATTCAGAAAAAAATTTTCAATTGTGGATCTGACAAATCTAGCAAAACATTCAAAATCAGTTTTTACATCCAAAACTTCTTTCACAAAGTAAAATTACCTGAATCCATGGCTCAGCTAAATCTTTATAGGCAGAAGGGATCTGCTGGACCCCATAATGAGTAAGGTTAAAATTGCTATCTTGGGTTCTTCTCTGTGATCCAGCTGTAGATTGCTGCTGGGTTTGTTGCTGAACCCCACGGAGAATAGAAGAATCCACAGGGCTTGGCAATTCATGACTACAGATTAACAACAAATAGTGTGGATTAACAAATGAAACATTTACTGAAGTAAATACTTCAGCATATTTAGGAACATCAACTAAAGATCCAGAAACACATCACCTGTTATACACAGACTAAATCCTTACCTGTAGAAATCATGAGATCTCCATTTAGATCTACAAAGAGGACATATAAGTGGCTCTCTGTTTCTTCTGCATTCTTCTGCCCCTGGAACACAGCAACAGGATAGTACATACTTCATTTTTAGAGTGTATAAAACCAGAAGACGGCATCATTATTCTTAAGTTTTACTGAAGAATGTTAGTTTCAGGATAAACACTTCTGAACTGAGCCATTTGCAGTAGCCTGGTAGATAGACATTTAAACATTTTTTGCACGCAGTTAGTATTAAAAGGTATGAACTGAAATACAGCACTTTTTTACCTCAAACATAGGCAATACTTTTTCGAAAGTATTAAAATATGAAAGATAGAATTTTATTTGTTAAAGCAAACTGTACCTATTTATATACTTTATTTAATGTAGTATGTAAGTGTACTCTGTAATTCACTATATAATCCTAGTTGATAGTAGATGACATCCATGCATTCTAATGACAAGTCACAGAGGGCTAAAAGTCTGTTCCTAACCTTGCTCTAATCTGACAAAACCTTTTCACTCAAGTAGAAGAAGCTCAAACCTCTTCCTTGCAGTTCAGTTCTTTCTCAGAGCATCATATTACAAACTTGGTTTGTAAATAACTAATAAAATAAGGCTTATCAATAGTACCCGAATGATACCAAATACTCACAAAGTGCTACCAGTCATCACTTAAGAACAAGTTTCTGGTTTTCACTTTGAAAACAAACAAAATCTCCAATGAAAACACACTAAGTTATAATACTTTTGCATATTTAGAGGCACCAGAAATTAGTAAGACAAAGATGGCAACATACATATTGACATGCAGTGGTGGTGCAATTTGTTCCTGCAGCCATCTTCACACACAGTTAGGCTCTCTTCATCCAGCATGCCTAACAAGCAAATAGGGCACATCTGTTCTTCTTCATCCTTCATACTATAAAAACAGATATTTGTGATTGTCAAAGTAGCATATCAGAATTCAGAACAGGCTTTAGCAGCAAAAAAAGATTAACTTTCAGTTCAGAACAGTCACTTCTGAATAACTATAGACTATTCATGAAGCATTCTCGTAAACCTTGGTCTGAGTAAGTAAACAACCAAATTTTTAGAAGCACTGAGTACAGACAACACTTTGTTGAAGTGAAAGGGAAAGTCACAGAACACATGACATCTTTTCAAACTAGGTCAGATACCAATTAGAGATTGAAAGGCCCAGCCTTGGGCACTTATGTTTTTTTTCCCCTAAGGTTTCTTTAAACAAACAAACCTTTGCTTTTTTACTTATTATTTGGTTTTGAAAAAGTAAGAAATGTTTATATTTTGAAAGCTACCCACATTTTTTCCATCACATTCCTTTCAGAGTCACAAGGTAGTCTTTAGCCCTTTCTTTAGTTATAGAAAACTGTAAATACTATTTGATGATCATATGGAAAACTCAAAATTAACAGAAGATTCACTCAAGAATTTCCTGCCATTAACAGAAACAGATACAGTATTCACATGAACACTGATATATATATATATATAAAAAATATATATCAGCAACACACATTGCTTCCGTTTTATTTACTCTCAACTTAATTTTTAAAGTGGTATTATCAGAAAAATTAACTTAAACAACAAGTAGTGAAAACCACAGATTTTAATATATTCCATAACATCATTTAAATGTGCAAAACTAACTACTCATAGTAAAAATTTAAGTTATAGATGGTGTGTGTCCTAAAGTCTGCAAGGAGCCTGTATTTGTTCACCAACCATAACTTTTTAAAATAAAATTAATTTGTATATACCTTGTTTCTATACACATATTCGCTTCTATTTTCTTGCAAATGGTTGATACAGTTTTTTCCCTTGAAAAGTAAGCTTACAGTGAAAAATTAATTTCCACAGCATGTATAAAAACATAACTATTAATTTAAAACTTATTTTTGAAGAATTAGTAGTAAACAAGAAATAACTGCAAGTCAGTAATTATCAGAACTGAGTAAACTTTTATCCTAAAGTAATCTGATGCTCAGTGTTCTCCAATACTACATCATGCAAGATTAGACTTGCACAAAACAGCAACTTATCTCATGGAACCAGTAATGCTAGGAATTAATCATTAGGTGTACTGGCAAAGAACTGAAAAATCTTTCATCCTGTCAGAAATGAGAATTATGCAATGAAGTCCACAATCCAGTGAAGCCAATCCTATGAAAAAAAATGTGTTTTTTTCTACAGAAGGTTTCTACATTAAAGGAATTGGCTTGCCAGATAAGTAGTTCCAAGAGTAGATTATGTATTTAACTACTTTTTAAATGCAATTTATTTACAGTGACACAATTTGACAATTTCAAAAAATAAGTAAAATCAAGGTCATAACCTGTACAACAGAATTACAAATCTGTCTGAATATATTCATCTAACTATATGCTTATTATCACAAAGTAACACATCAAGGTACTCCCTTCAGTTAGGTTTCAGTTTATACAAAAGAAAGCCTCAGTTTAGATTGCCTTCTGTGGTTTGACCTCTCTAGAGGATGTCTAGTTCACTTGCTAATGCAGGCAGAAATCACCTGTTTAAAAAATTCAGTAATATCTTTTCAAAATAAAGGAAAAGAACATCCAAGAGCACTCTTCAAAGTGCTCAAAAGTAGAAGTTGGGGCAGGGGGAGGGAAACAAAAAAGTCAAACATCACTTAAAACTGATAAATAAGGCATAATTTCATATCGCATAAACTATAAAAATCATAATAGTTTAGTAACTCCCTTAAAATAAACACCCAAACATGAAGTGCTTTTCATATATGTGCTTACTTGTGCTTTATGTATTTTATATATATATGTTTACACAAACAGTGCATTTACCCAAAATTTTTTCAATATATTGTCACAGGAATAAGCATTTCTCCAGAGTAGGACAAGAGAAAAAGAAAAATCATGTTTCTTCACTTGTCAACATTTGTACAAGTGCTGTATGTGAACAAATGCACACAAATAGGTTTCTAAAGTTAATATATGCACTTACATTTCAAAGGTTTGTTCCCAAATTTATAAAGCGTCAAAAAAAATTATTTTCACAACTCAACTTTTTCAAACAGAAGGTATAAAGCAAGAATGTACACTTGGTACCACGGTGACTAATGTATGCTTGACTCAATTGTTTACAAATAGAGACTTAACATGACTTGAAATGATAGCAGCTTTGAACAAAAAGAATGTAGGTGATTCTAAACCTCCAAAATTAGAAGAAAACTACAGAATAAAGCTCTTAATTCCTTTAGAAAAATACTAACCTGTTTTCTGAACTAGATGTAGAAGTACTAGATGATGACAATGTATGAGAATTTGACATGCGTGAGACAAACTTCTGGATGGTGTTACGAGATGGAGCTTTGATCCTCGAGCTACGCCTACTGTGATATTTCTGGAACAAACTCTCAACCTAACATCAGAAAAAGATAGCAACAGTTGTATTTATGCTATGAATAGCTTGTAATTAGAAGTAATAATACTGAAGCTTAGCTACTTCCAAAGAAGATCCATTCACCTTCACAATAATGTATTAGCAGTAGCAGCGCAAGGAGTTTCAGAAGTCTTACTAATAAGTAGATCACAAGAAACACTTTACAACAAAAAAGTACTTGCTTATTAAAGATATTAAAAATAAACAACAGCTTTAAATATACAAGCAATTACTTCTAAAGACCCTTGTTCTGTTTACCTTTTACTGTTTAATCAGTGAGACAGATACACAAGTTTGAGTAGAAAATACAAGATTTTAATCACTTACTAAACTGCAGCTCTCTATTAATTCTTAGTTGTCTTTTATTTCCATTTACTTTTTTTCTACTTACAAAGCTCCTGAGACTGAATTAAAGTTATAATTAAAAACATATTCCTGTTGCTTTGAAATGAAAGTCTTCAGCAATTTTAAGATAACGTCCTAAAGACTTCTACTTCTGTTTTAGATTTGCCAATAGATTTATTAGAAATCGATTACCTCAAAGTTCTTCAGTGTCTTTCTCCAGAGCATTGGGTCTGAGGGCTCAAGCTGGAACACCCGCAGCATAACAAACAGCAGATGAATACAAAATGTTCCACGGCCACAGCTACAAGTCTGCAAAGAAAAGTATATGCTAAGGCTCTACTGAAGTGATAATAACAAATAATTATTCCACGTTTAAGTGCATCACATATACATATAAACCACCCATCCACCTCCCCCCCCAAAAAAAAGTAGTTAATGCAAAATATTTCATATAGACACAAATCTCTTTATATGGCTTTACAGAAAGTGTGAATTCCCAAAATATTATTCAGCAATACATATGGAAAAGCAGACTATTATTACACCAGTTTTCAATTTACTTTTAAAACTATTTTTAAAATTTTTATGATTAACTGAAGCTATTGCTATGTTTCATACTGGAAAGAAGTTATGCATATAATCATCACATATCCATAACATGACAGCAAACTTAAGCAAGATGCTGCTTCTTACTCAAAAACCTCAATGCTCCCCAATGCAGCATTGAATTAATATTATGAAAGTCTATGAAAAGGACCTCACTATAGGTATTAATGAAATTATCACACCATTAAAGGAATTACATCATGTGCTTGTCATTTATATATACACCCCATGAATAGAGGAAATGTCTTTCAGAGTGAGTCTAGGAAAATGAAGTGGCTAAATAATTCAGAGCCACTACTAGAAATAAGAAATGGAAAAGACAATAGTGATTATTTCCAAATTAGATTTTTTTTTTATTTTGGTTTGGTTTTGGTTTTTTTTAAAGAAACTTTAGACAAAACTAAGCCTTGCTATATATTTAACAAAATACCAGCTGATCACAGGAGTACAGATTACAACTTTCAAACATTACTGTATAGAACCATTATCACAGGTTGACAACTAACTTGATCTGATTTGGTTTTGAACAGTTTTCCAAGCTTAATTATAAATTAATAAAAGCTACAGACAACGTAGAATGGTTCTCTACCTGAGGCCCAATAAACACTCTGTATTTATTATCAGGGCTGTCTCCTCCAATTAAGAAAGAGTTGGGTCCTATCTGCTGCAGCAGGTACAGCCTGGCTCGCATAACTTTGTTGACGCGACGATTTGTTTCCTCAGGGCTGTATGGAGAGAAGCCATCTGGAGATGGAGCTCGTCGAGGTGGTGTTATTCGTCCACTCTGAAACTACAAAAGCATCATAAGTGTTTCCAGGACAAAGGTAAGTTTAACTAGGTGATGTTTGGTTTTGTTTTGTTTTCTTTTCCTCCAAATGACACAGGATAAGGGAGTGTTCAAAACCTGAAACTACTACAATCTGTTTAGACTGCATGACTTTAAAAGAATTACTTTTCTTCTATGCCGAGAGGTCGAGAAGAAAAACAAATTTTTTAACTGAAGTTTTGCCTGACATAATGACAGAAAAGAAGTCTTTTAAATTGCTTCCATTTTCAAGTCTCCATTGGTTGCCTTACCATATAACTTTTGAATTAGCAGGCATAATTCATTCAGAAGATAATCACAGACTTGTGAATCAATACAGGAATTTATATAAGGTTATAATGCTAATGTATTTCATAAATTAAGAAATCCTATTACTAAGGGGAATACAAGGTAAATGAAGAAATGTTTAATTAAGAAAAAAAAAGGAAAAAGGATGCAGCTTCTCCTTTGCACAATCAAAACAGCTTCCAACTCAGGATGTTTTGTTTTGTTTCCCCATGATCAAAAATTCAACACCCCAAATCTTCCATTAAAATTGTCTTCATTTAAATTCTTCACATTTTTAACATTATGAGATGCATTAATGGCTCTTATCCCATCTCAAATCTTCTGCTTTAATTTATATCCACTTTGAATTTTATGTTAAGATGCAGGTTATATCTGACTCACTGTCCATTAGTTAAATTAAACCCTGAACTCCTAAGGTTTTTCATGTGAAAGGTTTATATTGAATAGAGAAAAACAGTTAAGTAAAAATGGACCAAAGGCTAAATTAAATAATTTGGTGGGTTGCTGTGGTTTTGGTTCAGTTTGTTTTGTTTCTGGTTTTGGTTGTTTTTTTAACCTTTGAACTGTGCTGTAACTTGTGATATTTGTCTCCAGTTCAGAGGAACGGCAGTATATATTTTAATTGATTTTGGAAACCCTGTTTAGAGCAATGGGACAATTAAAGCAATTATATCTTATTCTTGCTTGAACTGCACTGTGAAGTTGTAGACAAGACAACTGAAGCTTAACTGTGGATGAACTTTTTTATAACAAGCAACCCTGCTAGATACTGTGACTAAAAATATTATACTCTTGATCCTCTTTAATGAAGCCAGTTACTATTGCTTAAACCATTTTATTCCAGGTCTTTTCAAATGTAATGATAGATGTAATCATGTAATGATTTTAGTCTTCTAACAATGGCCATACCTGAATCTTCCCTAATCTGTATCTAAAGATCAGTTCTGGAATGGAGGATCATAAATAGCATACCAGGAACACTTCTCTGCCAGAATGTTAATCTGTTCAACAACCCTATTCCCGATGGAATATACCTGTCTGGAGAACTAACATGCAAAACTGCAGGACAAATTACTAGCATGTCTTCATGCAAATCAAGCTAAGAGAACATACATGTCTTCACAACCAAGCATCTGTATCTCTTCCTTTTAATTCAGTCTTGCTTTCAATTTTTATTTCTCAGAAATAAATGAAAACACATGCCTCAGAGTAGAGAATAAAATTCCATTCATGAGAAATGTAAAATAAGATATGCTCTGCATTCCTGACTCAAGTGATACCCTGCCATAACCCCTTTGTATCAGCATCTTGCCCTACACAGGGAAGATTAATTGCCTTTATAATTAGAAGACTGCAGAATATAGTCAAATTAAAAATCACATCACAGCTTGCGACTTACAGGCACTGGAGATACCCTTTTTCTTCTAACACCCGGTGATTCAGATTTAACTGTCCTAGAGGATGACGAAGATGAGCTACTAGGAGAAGGACTGCGTCTTCCTTTCTGTGTAGGTGAAGAAACAGAGCTTTGTCCTTCAGCTTGAGGATCTAGAGAGAGTTTGTGCATTTCTGATCCATCTCCTTTCCCAGTGATAGGCTTCACCACCTTGCAGGAATTAAACCATGTGTTAGAACTACAAATTGATCATTTTTACACTACAGAAAAACAAATTCATCAAAACTTGTTTTGATAGCATTATACAATTAAGCCATTATCCAGACATCCAAAGTTTGCATATTTCCTAGGTTCTAATATTAACATCTATAATAGGGGTTGTCTTACTAATTATATGCAACACAAAAGCAATAATCTTTTTCTGTTCGTTTGTGCTAGTTATCACAGCAACTGATTTGATTCTCAAAGTACTTCTGTAATTGTCATTTATGGTATCTCTAAGGACAGCAGTTCCCCCACTTGGGTAGTAGGAACCAAAGAATATTTTTTCTACAGGCATTATATGCTTATTAAGAGCTATAATGTTGGATTCGTCTGTTATATACAGTATCAGTTGAGAAACACCAGGGTTGCTATTTCTATGGCACAATACTTGTTGTAAAATAATAGTTACTTTAAACCTGGAGGCAATGCAGCATTATTAAGGTGCAGTGCACTGCATAAGTACCCAGGTTTTCTGCCTGCCATACAAGTAAAACAGCTCCAATGCACCTGGTACCTGAGCTGATCACTGTCCACAGTGCCCTACTATATGAATAGACATATGTGCTCAAGCAGAGTGAACATATACGTTTCTAATACTGTGCTTTGTTGCACGAACACTGAATTTTGACACTGAAGTATGGAATAATTCAAGGCAACTTTCATCTGGTTGCATCTCATGGATTATGTGTGTCTGAGAAGAGTAAGGACCCTGAGAATCAAACTGAAAGTAGTCACAGCAGGCAGAGTCAGTTTTAGCTCTACATTTCCCCATGTCTTTGAGGCCTGACTCAAACGTGGAGGGAAGCTCCAACTAACACTTCAGATTAACAAAGCAGACCTCTCCGAGAAAGTTCCAGATGTCTCTGATTTAGGAAAAAAATGGAAGGGGCTTTTCCTGCTCAGGGTATATAGGGAAGAAAAGACATCCAGACTCAGTGCCCTTCTACCTGATGATTTCGACTGCATCCACAAGGTCAAATGCTATTTTAAACTGAAGCATTTGACTCATCCAACTGAAGCTACTCCACTATCCAAAAAAGCATTTCAGTTTCAGCAGGCTACAGGGAGAAGACGACAACGAGGAGGCTGTGGTTTAGCAGTTAGGCACTACCCAAGAGAAGAAAAACCTGCATTTACAGCCTTGATCCAAGTACCCATCACTTTGCTCTAAGAAGTCACCATACTAGGTGTATTGCACACCTGAACTCTTCAGAAGCCTTTGTTGCTACTGTTTTTAAATATACTGCTACCTGATTATGAAAGTGAACAGAATAAAGGAGAATTATAAAACACAGCACAGCCTTTTTTCCTTCTTCTGATTGCTGTAATGCTTTTTCTTTCCTGGGAGATCAGAATGCAGATCCATGTGCCCATGGACAAGCTACCAGCTGCTAGTGCTTGAAAATATCTAAAGTGTAGAATGGTAGTAACTGAGAATCTGGACCACCAAAAGTTATATTAAAAAACCCAGAAACCTTAATTGAAGTGGGCTGAGCAGGGAAACAATTTCAAGCTATGCAGTAACCAAAATGCATTTAAAAAATTTTAAAGCAAAAACTGTTTTGTGTTATTCAATCCTTTGAGGTATTGCCTTTTTGGCACACTTGCAAGTATTTTCAATGTTCTCTCTCATGATAGAAAGTTAGCAACAGAACTTTATTTCTGTTCTAGAAAAGCTGTCCCCACACTTGTTTACTGCATCAGATGATCTTAGCTTTAAATTAGCACTTCCATAAAGCGGTATATGGGACTGCTATATACATCAACCAATGCAACTACACTTATAGGTAACTAATTGCTATTAATTAACTAGCACTATACTGAATAAAATTGTAACAATGCTTAACAAGTTTCAGGTTTGATCTGTCCACAATTTCTTAAAACCCCTCCTGAGCCATTTATACAAAATCATTATCCAAAAGGCTAATAGAATACTATGGCATCCAAAGGTTTGCAGAGTTGAGACTTGTGTGAAAAAGTTATTCAGCTTTGGTTTTTTCTGGTTCAAGTAAAGTTGCAGTTTGTTTTTATCTCTACCAAAAATTCCATATTCTTCAATTATAATACATAGAAAATATTAACATTTTCAAACTAAGGAAAAGTGAAGTCTTAAAACCCCTAAGAATCAAGGGATATAGTGCAGCTTGGCATTGAATATAAGTTTTTGCCTAACGAACACGAGCAATTTTTGTTGTTGACATTAGAGGGCAGTGTTGTCTCAGTATAATTTTATACTACATAACTAGCACAGCTATAGGACTTTCTTAAAAATAAAGCTTAATAAATGTGTACATTTCAGAAAGTCAGCCAGTTTCCTGTTAAAAAGCTCATAAAAATGAACAGGAAGACCATAATTTAAAGTATGCAGATTCTTAAGATAACAAGGTTTCTAATAGAAAGAAATTAAAGGGATTTTTATTTGTAATAGCTGTTACCGATACTGCCCTTCCGTCAGTGCCACTTACCACTGGGCCTCTCCTGTTTTTTCTTTCCAGCCATTCATGCTTCCATGCTGGCATGCACGTTGCCTTGAGTTTCTCCCTGATCATGCGCTCTTCTGGGCGGTCATCCATCTTCTGCAACCCCCTAAGGGTTTCTTTATTCTCCATCTCACGACTACAAAGAAAAAAAAATACAGTCATAAGTACAATTATTTTTAGTTAAAGTATAATACTACAACATTCTTAAGCTTTGTTCTGTCCTATTCTCCCTCTTCTTACAATGCAGCAACTAAAACATTACTTTCAACTGACTTGTAGCAGGCCTCTTAAGAGTTACGACTAATTAATTTGCTGGTCTCTTGTTTGCAGCATACCTGCTTTGAGGGCTATTTCTCTAAAATGCGTGTACTGCTTGTAACACTGAACACCCAGTAAAAAGGATGGTCTTGGCAAATATTAAACTAATACAAAAATTATCCTATGTGTCATGTCATTCACCAGAAGTTTCACAACTGTTGTGATGGTTCATGTGTTCCTTGGCAATTTAAAGCCTGCAATCTCTATCTCAAAATAATTTACAAAATGAATAAAAATTAATGGCAAAAAGTTTTCATATTCATAGGATGCATAAGCATGAAATTATGTATGTAGTGCCTCTTCCTATATGTGAACTCTTCCTCAAAAAAGAAGACTCGTAGACTAATGCACAGTAAGGATGTTTAAACTAGACATAGAAGCCATGAAAGTAAGGCCTTGAGAGTTGCTTCCTGAGTGACTGATGACTTAAAAGCACTTCAAGGCAGCTATAATTATAGCAAAATTAAGAGCAAGTTTGTATCTGTAAAATGAAACTGTAACCCATTTGGGCTTGTACTTTTATGACCTACAGCAAAGTAGGTGCTTGTGATTGCCGGCAACAACAAAAGAGCAAAATAAAAAATACAATCAGACACTGAAAAACAAATATGAAGTCTGGAAGATTTCCTGATTCTGTTGAGCTATCTGCTATTGTCACCAAGAAAAATCAAATTCTTAAGCAGCAGCACATGATCTCCAGCCATCTTCCTGAAGCAAGCCACCTTTAAAAATAAGCACACTTGATTAATCCAAATCTCAGAATGAAGTTTTATTTCAAAAAATAAAATCACAACTTAAAGTGGAAGACTATATAATAATCTGTAACTACTGCTTTCATGCATGAAGTCTTCAGCTTCTAAAACATTTAGCTATGCTGTGAAAACCACATTTATCTACTGTATGACAACCTACAACATATTCTCTATAACATTCGTTGGAATAAGATGATGCTAAAATCACAACTTTTATCTTCATCAGCAATGTATTCCTAAGTTTCATTTATCAAAAATCCCTACTTAGAAAAAGGTGAAGTTTTCACTCACCAGAAGGAACACTTTTTTTTTCTCCTACCCTCTTTCATTGTACAGACAAAGGAAATAAAGTATTCTGAGGCAGGAAATAACTCTTCCTGTTCAGTGCTGAAACGTAATAAGCTGATGGATACTGTAAACAAAATACATTTTCTTTCAGGCAACAACTAAACCTACTGTTTATAACTGATTTTAGACACTCAGAACTACGTCTAGCAATTAAAAGCTTAAAAATGTTTATAAACAGAAACACAGTCCACCTAAAAATTAATGCTTTTTTTCCAGAGGTTAAGCATCAATGCTTGCTTAACTTCAAAACTAATGCAAGTGACTTAAAAATTATTTTTGCCCCAGCACTGAATTCCACACTATTGCTTTCCAGAAACAGAGACAAAAAAAACCTAGTGATAACTCCTGAAAAACGAAGATGAAATAGCAGCAGGTAGAGTCCAAACAGAGAATGTGCCTAAAAGTTTAAAATAGAGGAATCACTACTGTGTAAAAAGGATCAATTTTACATTTTTTCCTCAGTCAAAAAGGTATCAGTTCAAAGCCAAAATCAGCACAGCTCTGAAATAATATAGGTGCAAGCTGGAAACACAGAGTTACTCTGGTTTTTATATTAGTTACTACATGGTATTAACCATCTCAGTTGCATGAATACTTTGTATACAAGACAGAAAACACTATCTCAGCAATGAAAGAATTACACACCATTTCATTTGTTCGTATAGCCATGATTAACTTCCCAACTGACATAAAAAAAGTCTCTTAGAAGCCCTTGGACTTGAATTCATGAACAATGTAATACAACAGTGGAGGCTTCACAATCTGTGCTTGTTCTCTAAAAAGCAGAAGCAACTATCTTCCTCTCATGTGACAGCTAAACCGATGTGCTCTGGCCTGCACAAAGGACTCTTGTGCTTTTCCTTCACGCAGGTGGGAAAGGTCAACCACATCTGAAAGCTTTTGCTTAGAAAACCACAGTTATCTTTTTTTGCAGAACTTAAATACTATCTGTAACTTTATAGAACACAGTTTCTGAAGTGCTCAAGAAAACTTCGTTTTTTAACTCAAGCTTGGCTAAAATATCTATTAAATACCCTTACGCTGTTGAGTCTGCAAAACAAGTATTTTTCCTGTGACTGCTCAAAGCTCCTGCATACTGCAGGACACTCTGATTTTGTGGCCTGAACCTGCAGGGCTTTTATCATTATAATTATTTTTTAATCTAAAGCAAATCTCCACATCTATTCCAGGCAAGATTAAGTTTTCCTACAAGACAGTTCCTAATATTTCCTAGGTTGCCAGTCTCTGTATCACTGCACCTCAGCACAAAATAAAAAATCCAGTGCGTACTCCAGCAAGGCCTTGATTCTGCGGAGTACAGAGCATTTTTGCTGTGTGAAGACACAGCACAACTTATTCATAAGTTAAGGTAACAATGCACTTCAGTGATTGCCAGGTACTGCTTTATTTGAAATACAATAGATTAATGTACTGCATGGAAACAATTTATGGCAACATCTTCTGCAATAAAGGCAGCAAAACATTGTCCTTTGTTTCCATGTCTTAATTTTTTTAATACTCGCAAACAGTAATTGCACAGTTATATCACTAACAACTTTTTCTCTATGGATCATTGATTCAGTATTTTAACACAAGGTATGCAATACAGATGTTATTTGGCTAACTATTTGTTATTGTTACAAGCAAGATTTACTTCAATGAATTTAATATTAACTCTCTGCAAATATTTTTATTACAAAGAACATATAATGGTATATGAAAGCTGAATTGTAGCTTCAACTAATCTTCCTGTGCTTCTCAATGTTTAGAAAAAGTTAGATGTCTTCGCTTCTCTATTACCTTATTTGGGCAAACAGCTTTATCTAATAGACTTCATTAGCAAGTTAGCTTTGCAGCAGTGGTCAAACCTCAAGTGATCACAGAAAACATCCAGCTTTATCAGAACAATCAATGCACTTTACAATACGCTGTGAGAAGAGCTCAGGGTTTGATAGAAAAGCACCACGTGAGAAGGAATGAATATGGGAGAAGTTACATATTCTGCTCAGCGCAAATGCCGTGTTATGGTGACAATCAATACTGGGATGCACAGAGCACATTTTGGGGGCCTTAAGCAAGAATTAAGAATACAGGCACTCTAGCTACCTGCAACCCAACCCTGAACGGATCTGGTGAATGCTGGGCTACTCAGCTGGTCTGGAGGCATGGAAGGAGCAGCATTCAGCATGGGGAGCAGGGATAGAAGAGTTAGCCATTTTCTGAATTGAGAAGGTCAACAATTAGTATTTTAGATAACTTCTTGCCACAACAGTGCTAGTAGTTCTTACAGTTTCTATTTTGCCATTAAATACTTTTAATGATACCAAGATCAGTTAAAAAAATCAGATCAAGACGGGCAAAGCATGTTTTGTCCTCCTGTCAGTCTCCCATTCCTTCTCCTACTTCTCACATTTATCATGTTCCCGCTTGTGTCCATTCTAACAAAGCAAAGTATCAGTCATGGCACATTCTATTCAAACAAAAAACTTAACAGGGAACTTTCTCAACCTGGTACTAAATGGCAGCAACTGCTACTTAAAGACAGCACTGAAAACACTACTTCATAGAGACTAATGAATCTAGCTTCCTAAAATAATTACAGGGATTTTAGCCAAATGTTATGTAAGTGTGAAATTAATTACTATTCTTCTGTTAGAGTAGCTGACAAACATAAAAGGGAAAACAACAAATAATATTTATTTTTTCTAGCTGCCACAGCTTCTCCAGTAGCAGTTCATAGTCTTCTCTTAAGAATAAGATAGGCTCTGTTCATTTGGCCAATTCATTCTACATTAGAAACACCTTCATATTTACCTCAAATAAGTTTGTGTCTTCTGTGTATATTTTGAAATATAAAATACGAACACAATTCTGTAATTAAAAAAATACAGAAAAAAATGAATGGTGCCCAGATGTAAGGAAACAAATGTAACACCCAGCAGGTTCCTGTGAAACCTCTGCTGCCCTCTGCATCCCAGGCTGCAGTGTGAGAGCCCCTATTAGAAAACCCCATCAGGTGACAACCACTGCATCTTTACATCAAAGTAGTGTTAGAAATGAAAATATATCCTATCTATTCCAGCATTTTCCTGTAAAAGGGAAATAAATCTGTACAGAACATAAAACAGGAAAGAAAACCCTTTCTAATATTTGGCTCGAAATAAAACAAGAACTACTGAGTCTACACCTCTACTATTTTGGTAACAATTATTATTTAGTCCCAGACTAATACTCCCCTTGTTTTCTCTCCCTATAAAGTCATTTCATCCAGCATCTCTCTTGAAGACTGTTATGTCAAAAGGTGCATTTGTCAAAGAGAGCATTTTACTACTAACAGGTCAATATTCACAACTAACACACTAACTCTACAGACAGAGCCATCACCTTCAGTGGAACCTCACAGGCCCTGGTCAAGAAGCATCTTCCCCTTAGTGACGAAGGCTCAGGTGTGCAAAGATAGATGTCTAAAGTTACAGAGTTACAGTTACCTGCTTAGATTTTCTAACTCAAATAAAGTCAAATCCACATACTTGAAATATGCAAAACATTGGATGGATTGCCTACTTTGAAGCCACCTAGTCATACTTGGAGATTTTGGCACTATTCAGTAGCCACTGAGAGTCCTCCTACCAAACAAGCCAAGAAATGCTAGCTTCTATTTAAAAGAGATGAATGCTGCAAACCTAATGAAATGGGCTTCCCTCTTCTGCAGGT